TATTTGCAATGCCCCGCTTTATTTACATCTTTCAAAGATCATCAAGTGGTCCCTTTACTCTTCTTTCCATCCTGGACGCCTATCATTTGTCTGTTTTACGAGTGTATACAAGATTAGTGGAGGGTTTGACGAATAGCACGCAATGTCCGCAGCAAACAAGAGGCCAGAGCGACAGAGTATGAGAGTATGAGAGTATGACACAACAATATTAGTTGTCAAGAAGGTCTAGAAATTTAGCTGGTAGTGACAGCGAGCAGCCGCGCGCATGCCCAGTCATTTTGACGTCAAGAAGTACTTTGGGGTTACAGGAGTCTCGCAGAAACTAGGCACAGAGAGGAATGGACAACAACTTGGTATAATTATGAATTTACTTCGTCCGGAGTATGATCCAGCCTCTTCTCCATTCTCCCACTCCCGATTTGCCCTCTCAAAGGCCTTATATTTTGACATATAATCATTCTCCACAACGCCCTCCATTAAAGTTTCCAGATGCCTAGATATTCATTAACAATTTTGATGAACCCTGTCCGTCAACACGTAAATTTCAAAATCGCCCCACCAAAACTACCCAACACTACTCCCCGCCTATATTATTAAATCCAGCCTTCCAATTTAGGCTTCGTCTTGCGACCCCAACTTCGACTTTTCTTCCAAAAAGCATCATGCTCTCGCGATTGTTCCTTACGTCCAGCGTTAGAAGACATACTCGTGAGCCAATTCGATACTACAGTTCTCGGTGTGCGGGATTCTGGTTCAAATGACGCTCCTTTTTCTTCGCTCTGGTCTCGATGGATTGGTGCCATGATAGGTGGACTGTTCCTTCGAGGTGGTGGTGTGATTGGTGAGGTTTGAGAGCGTGTTGATACTGCACTGGTTTGACGCGGACGACTTGTGTGCATACCCTTTGTGTGACTCTTTGAATATTCGGCATTGTAATTCGGTAATTCAATCTCACCGAGCCTTCTATTTGTCGACTTGAGTATTTTTCGCGGAGCTTGGCTAGCAGATGAGAACATCGAAGGTGAATCTAAGGCACCAAGAGTACCCATAGCACAATCTTGCTGGAGACGGAACTTCCAATCTTCCTCCAATGGCTTTGGAGGCTTGTCGAACATTGGGCTATGAAGATCTTGACTCGATAATGTTTCGCATCTGCTCAATCTCTCGTTGCCTGTCTCTTCAAACTCATCGCCGCTTTCAATGTCTGTGATTTCAGAATCGTCAAAATCAAACACTGGACTGGGCGTCCTTGAAATGGTTCCGCTGGCTGCTAATGTTGGTTCTAGCAGATTGTTTTGGCTACGAGTATTTCTCATTTCCGGAGATGGCGAGCCCGTCTGTTTCCGGCCTGACATGTGCCTTGGTGCCACAAGGTATGCCTCAAGCGGATTGTCAATCATACGACGTTGAGTCTGTCCAAAATCTACAGACTTCTCAGTTGAAGTCTCCCGTCTAGAAAGTTTCAGACGAGCTCCTAGTATATTTCTTTCAATTACTTCCGGCGAAGGAAGAGTACTAATATCAGGCTCCACGATCGAAGGCCAAGCTTTGGGAGTTTTTGGCGATGGAAGCCCAATTTTCGATGAATTTTTTTTCTTATTTGCATTTCGAGACATGGGCGTATCTCGTGGCTTTTCTGAAGTAATTCGCACCGCTCGTGGTCCTGGATAGGTTGCTCTGCAAATGAAAAATATAAGTATCGAGACCTCTAAAAATACGCTTTATAATGACAGGTGACAACATACGCCTGGAAAAACTCCATAACATCCAAATCGCCATTCTCATCCCCATACGCCGGACTCAATAATACCGTCACACCAGGAGAGATAGGCGTTTCCTCTGATTTCCAATTCGCGGGTGGCTTTTCGAGAAAAAAGTTTCGGGGTGATGAGGCCTCATTATCTGGAGTTCGGGGAAACGAGGCATTTTCTCTTTCATCAACGTCAAAAAGCAATTCTGGTGTTGGCATGACTTCTTCCATGTTGGCGTATGAAAATATATGGCTTTGGGCATTTTGGATATATATCTCATCTGGTCTTTTTCGATGAAAGTACCCCTGACTCCTCGATTTTCTAATGTGTTTTCTATCGACCATGATGGATATGTCAACGTCAATGAGACGGCGGTTTTTGTGATATTTCAATGAAACAATGGGATATGGTATCCAAAGAGAGTACCAATGTGCAACGATAGGAAAAGAGCAAGGTAAATGAAACAGCGTAGGAAACCCAAACAAGCAATCAATCAAAGTTAATGATTCTCAAGAAATAGTGCCTGCACTGTATGTATATCAATCCTCAATTGCAAAAGGAAAAGCAAAAAGAAACTCGAGGTATTAAATGAATCAGCAAAATCAAAGGAATGAACGAACGAGCGAGCAAAAGATGTGTGAGTAGGTAGTTCCAAGTAGAAAAATCGAGATCGAGAGCGATCACAACGGTATAAGTACAGCATCAAAACACGAAGTGGTATTGAATTGCAATAAAACATGCCACCGCATGCAACCCAACCTCCAATCCTCATCTTAAATCCCGTTACCCGATCTACTAAAATTACTCAAGAAAATCGAAATACACATCGACATTGGTCCACCAAAATATACCCGCCCACACCATCGTTTTTTAGTGTATCGAAAATGAATGAGTGCTGCCATTTACTGTTTCACAGTAGAGGCTGAGAACCTATGGATAGATGTTTATGCGCTGTGGGCGCTTAATTTTTTTGATGGAGGGGCGGATCGCTTGGGGATTGGCTGGCGAGAATTGGGGGTTTGAGGCGGGGTTTTTGGTGCGTTGTACGGTAGGAGTCTATTGTGTTGTGTATAAATCATTGGAGTTGCCATATTATGTTCACTTGTGTTTTATGCGTATTTTTATGCGTTTTGATGAAAGGTTTGGAGTTTGCTATCGGCGTTGTTCGAGTTGGGGGTTTTGCTTCTAAAAGTTCAAGAGGTTATTGCACCCTGGAGAATTACTCACGAATGGTAACAACAACTATGGGATCCTCACGAAACCTCACGAAACCTCTGATGAATAAGATTCGTGTATGGATCTGAAGCACAATTGTCTGTTGAAAGCAATCCGTGGAAGAAACTTCAGAGTTGGGGTATCTAAGTATAGCACTACCTTTCATACCTTACCATTCTCAAGTACTTCGTTTCGCAACTTCCCAAGTGGTGTATATATAACTCTTTCGCCGAGTTGGATTTCCACGAATCGAACATCTTCTGATTTTTGCTGTTGAAATTCTCTGGATACGCGTGTCGTCACATCATACCTTCCACGACCGGTCTGTGGTGCGGTGCTTGGGGAACGCACAAGCTACCCCGCTGGGTTGTATCTCAAGGCGAAGCTTTTTTTATGGCATCTTATCGTTGTGATTTTCTGCCTGACTTGCCTTGAGGTCGAATCATTGGTGATTACTAAAAACGGGATGTGTTATGTCGAATCTTTTCTGGAATAGAGACCATCACCAAATACTTACAGACTCCTTGGTGAAAATATCCCAGGGAGAAATTGTACTGTAATAGAATCCACTGTTTTTGTGATTGATTAGCCAATCTACCGGCTGTCTATCGAACAGTGTCAAGTGAATTGAAGATGATTTCAACTGTACGAGCCAGTAGAGGATATATAAAAACAATCCTAGAGGCTTTCTCGCTATGTGCACCGACTTGGTGGTTGAACTTTCCTTGCATTCACATATACTATGTTTAAGTATACTTTTATATACCTCAAGTTATATGAAGCCTGTTAATTGCCAACTCATGGAAAGACAATCTTGCATGATTTCAAAGCACCGCCTGCGAACTTCGACAGGAAAGGCCGCCAAGAAGAATAGTAGTCTTGGAGGAGCTCTTGGGCATAATGCTCCTATGGATAGCATGTGCGAACCCCGGAGTAGCAATTGATCAATAAAGATGCACTTCCATCACGGGTAGCTCTGTGGCAGAGACCGCTCGAGGATTGAAAACTCAGTGTGAGAGGTGCTCGACTCGCTACACGCCGTAGAAATCTCAGAACTATACAAACTTGAGCTCGTGAGATAGTGCGAGAGTAATGTGTTCCCGCGTTAGCAAAGATTCAGACTGAATGCAACAATTTCCCTAAAGCGAAGATTGTCCACGAGAAGCTGAAAAATTAGAACAAGAAGAGCTCCTGAAAGCTAGGTGCCACATATTGAACTATCCATTGAGGCTTGTGTGAAGCCATGATAAACCTGGTTAACTCACCTACCCAACGTTGTGCTGAATTACAAGTAGAAACTACCCGATTCAAGCTGCGTAAAGATGTCCATCCAAAGTAATTCCCTCCACAGCGATGCATATTGGAAAGGAAAGTTCTTGCATTCCGCCTGATCCTTCCGATATTTGATATCAAGAATGATTTTGGAAGTTTCCTGTCAAGATAAATATGTGGCATTGGATTCGCATCATTTAGCGTCAGTCTCAATTATCAATTCACCTACCAAAGCAATTCTTCATCCACCGAGTACAGTGAGTCAACGGTGACAGAAAAATTTGAGGTCCCAGGAAAATATGCAACTGTTTTGTTTAGCAAGCATATCTGGATCACGGCCGCACGCACAAATAACGGTCCGGTAATGGAACAGATCGAGTTGGTCGCGAACGATGATGTTTATTTTGCTGGATGTCCAGTTGCTTCCGAATAGGCATAGGCCACGGAAGTTGGAGAAAGTTATGGGTGGTATTCGCTTGCTAGTAATTCTTACGATGGATTGATAATCCTTCATATTTCGAACCTCTCTCCTTCTTAGCAAGGATACCAAGAAGAAAAATTCGCTCGCTTTGATCCGATTCCGCATTATTTGAAGTACATTCTGTTAGGCGGCAGTCAGGGAGAGGGGCTCTCACTCAACACCCCCTTTGAAGATGTGACTTAGCAGCTTAGCGCAATAGTAGTTCGCATTTCACGCATCGCTTTCTCGCAGCGAGACTTCGTGCTTGAGATCAATCTTTTCACATATTCTAATATTAAGCACAAGAATAATGTCAATACGTAGTTATTATCACTCTACTAAGTATCAGAGATCATTCCATGTTTTCACCCACAGATCGGTATAACTGACCATTCCACTCCAAATCTTGCTAAACCCGAGTATTGCATTGCCCATCTAATAATCTACACACCCAAAATGGCCACGAGATCTCTATACTATCACGTTTTGCATTCATACAGAATCAGACTTAGACCCCAGCCTTGCCTTCTCGATACTTTCTCCATTGGTGTGGGCCCCTTTAGAAATTTGAGGAAAGCACCATCCAGGATGAAAGATCGCAAGGGATGATACAGCGATAACAATCATACTATTCTCGTCAGCTCCTCACAATATAAAGCTGAATAGGCAAACTTACAATCCTTCCATAACAACAAACCCTGCCTCATCACGCATAATTGGATTTGCCCAACCCTGGACCATCTCTGCAATCCTATACACGCATCTCGCAAAAATGGTGACGAAAGCCACACTGATTCCAACACAAAATAATTTGAAGGGTCTTTTTGCAGCCATGAGTCTCGTATCTTCGGGCACTTGGTCCCATGATTTTCTCGTTCGGAGAACGTAGTCAATAACCAAGGCAGCGAAAACGATTAAAGTAAAGACCTGCCACACGATACCCGCAATCATAAGATTCGTCCCCAAATCTCTCGTCTTTTCGTTTTCACCAGCACTGGCAGCGATGCCTCCACCAATAGCCTGTAGTAACAACGAGAGAATATCAAAAGTAATAAACACCCAAGTATAAAATCTTGCGGGGATCCTCGATTTTTCTGTGCCAAAAGTTTGCACAATTTGTTGAAGCGTAATATACACACTAGCAACGACGAAACTAGGCGAGAAAATGAGACAGGAGATTTGGATCTCGAATCCGATGTCTGACCAGGCATTATTGTGTAAGAGAATTCGGCCAATGTATCCGGTTATTTCGCCCAGACAACCAATTGTTATGGCCATACCGAAGAAATATGTTTTGTAACGGATACTGGCGGCTAGGTGATAGATAGCTGCTAGCGTGAAAAAGGCGAGGAAAAATGCGTTGAAGCCTAGAGAGGGTGTGTAACCGTAGATAGTGGCTTCAACGGGGCACTCTGGGGATATAGAGGTACAATTTAGTGACCCGGGCATTTTGACTTATTGAAAAAGAAATTCCGTACAAAATCGAAGTGGTGAAAGAGAATCAAAATTATGTTGTAAATAGTAGCGAAGATGTCTGTTTAATTAATAGCTGTACCGAAGCAATAGTACAGATGAATAGATAAGATCCATCCGAACAGAACTTTCTTCAGTAATATATACTCATTCATTCTGATGATATTATAAGAGGTAAGCATCATGGTGTATTTCGCGCAGCCGCATTCGCATTCATTCCTGCGGACGATACTATCAACAATGACCAGAATGTATCAAGTCGGGTCAAATACTGTCCGTCTATCGTTTATCCGCGAATCTTGTTGGCGGACGTTAAAATAGCCAAGTGTGTCCTTGTCAGCCTCTGACAAAATAATTTCCTAAAATATGTTTGACATAGAACTCAGATGAGCTTAGCCTTGACAACGGCCGCTCGGGCCGTAAGTTTGAGGGAGTATGAAATTAAACGAGTCCGAAAGCGGATTTTATGGGTCATCGACCAATCAAAATCCGACAACAGCATCCCGCGTTTTTATGTCAAAGAGGCTATGCATAAATTCATGTACGATTGATACCTACCGATGATGCGTCGTCTATACACTTCGTTGTTAAGGAATCAAATGCTCAGCAGCCACAGTAAGATCCTAATGTAAAAAGACAACGCAATACTTCGTGGGCTTTGATATTTTATCTACGTCGAGGAAGACCTATGCCTTCCTGGCCCAAGTCTTGTTATGGCAACATTCGCATTAGGGTCATTCTGTACGTGCCCAAACTGGCATAAATTTCTATGCACCTCAGTTTGAGACATTTAATGGATGCAGATGAATGACTGAGCGCTATTCCATATACTTATCAACAACAGAGTACGGGGAACGCCACTTTTCTTCGGCAATTCTCCTGGCCATGATGCGTTCACGATAAGCTCTATCTGCCTCCTCCATCACAGCTTTCTCTTTTGATTCTGGTACCCCGGTTGTGTCAATGTAGCGAGTTGGTGTATGTCGGACAGTACTTGTGAATTCTGGATGCATTGATGACGGATCTCGAATGTAGTTCCCAACAATATACAATTTCACATCTCCACCACAATTGCAAGTGGATTCAAAACCAACAGTTAAACATTTAGTGCAGATGGTTCGAAGGCATGGATCGATACGGGTAAATTGGAAATGGGAAGTCTCAAAGTGGATTTGTAAAGATTCTTCATCCCTGAATGTTTCCTGACAGTAGTCGTCAAGAAAACAACATTTGTAGGCCGTTTGGTCCCAGACAGCGAGGGCAAATTGAGAATGATTTTGGAAAACGGAATAATAATGATCGACAAAAGGTTGGGAGTTATCCGCGTTGCTCACAAACATATCAAGCACCTCGTCGGCCGTAGAATATGCCTGCGTTCCATCAATGATTGGACTGGTTTCTATTCCATCGGGGTCATAGAGAACGATAGGAGGGATTCTATCTATTTTCCATCGCCGAAACATCTCGTCGCGTCTTGCTCTTCTTACAAATTTCTGTAGTGTTGGATCCCGGGCCGGCTCCGGATCTTGCCCCGACTTCACTTGTTTATCTTCAAGAATGTAATTCCAATCGCCTCTGGATGTGAACTCCGAGCTTGTGGGCCCTATTGAATGATGAGCATGATCTGGACTTATTTCTTCGTCGTCGCTCTCAATAATAGATGCTACCGGTGGTAAATCTACGGTATCTTGGTCGAGACTATAATATGTGTTCTCCGATTGCCGTTCATTAGTGTTCGCATCATCGAGATCGTCGCGTTCTGGTAACGAGAGAAGAGCAATGGCTTCCATGTGGGCAGCTATATGGTCGCAAAGCTCTTTGGATACAGGGAGAGATTCTTTTGCCACTTCCAAATTGTCTGATAATGCATTATGTTCTGGAATATTCACCGAAAATGGGCAGAGTGGGCAAGCTCCTGCTGTATGGGACTCGTCTTCATTGCCATTGGACGCGAGAGTAGATGAGCCGAAAAGGTCCGAATCGGGCTGCGAAGCTTTTTTCACAATCATGGATAGCTGAGTCTCGTTGAAAGCATTTTTATGCTCCTCGCGTAAGTGATGCTTAAATTCTTCTTCAGAGCGGTAGACTGTTGATTCGTGACCGGGCACCTGGCAGCACCATACCACGGCATGTTGCCATTGCATATGATTGACCCAGTCTTCTACCGTTGCGAAATATTCTGTTGACTTGTTACATCCATCAAAAAGGCATACGTATGGTTCTATATCTCGTAGTACGTGTCGCCTGTAAACAATCAGCCAGTGTTTCTCAGCTGAAAACAAAGGGGTTACTTACTTCCAACGGGCTTGAATCATATCTTCCTTATCAACAATACGAAAACAATAAGGACAGACTACTTCCTTGACTTCACCCTCTGACTTCGAAGGTGGGGCGGGAATATCTAGCTGTTCTCGACGGGCAACAGCTGACCTTGTTATCCCAGAAATTGCGACTGATTTCGGATAAGAAGCAAACTTAAGGCGGTTGACAGATGAAGCTTCAGTAGCAGAGTACTGATTAGTACTAATAGAACCTCGAGCCGAGCTTACCTGTTGTCTAACAATCGGCGTACCTCTATGCTGAGCTCCTGCCGGCCGAATTACTGTATCTTTGGGTATAAGTGGAAGTACCAGGTCTGACGCGAACGAACGCTCAACACCCTGCTTTAGCTTCTCTTTATGTCGCTCCCGGTATTCTAACTTTCTTCTTCGAAATACTGCAGCTTCTACCAATCTATTCAGTAAGTTTGGTGAGGCATCAGGGAAACGGAATTCTATCTGCCAGCGGACAGACGCTTGGAACTCTACGAGTTCCGCCGAAGCTTCGTCTTTTGCTATGAAGTTTGCCACTTTTACGTTTTCGTTTGCTGAGCTAGGCTTTTTAATAATAGTAGAAAGCCTATAAAGACGAGTAATTGTGTCTTTGATCGTATTTAGAGCTGTCGCTACGACATCAGCACGATGAAGACTGGGTAAATCATCCGTTTCGGACCCGGTATCTGATTCATTATCCAAACTAATGGCCATAGAGTCTTCCGATGATGAATCTGAGCTGTAACCCTTTTCACTCCGCTCCTCCAACTCCTCCTCTAGTATTACCGGCGGATCCATTGCTTGTTTCGTGCTTTGTCTTAGGCGATCCAACATTTGAATCAGAATTTCTTTAACATCAGCATCATCACGAAGTCGGTAATCTACCGATGCTCGTCCTGGAGCAAAAACACCCAAGTTGCCTGCCCAAATTTTGAATCTTCCAAGTTCGTTTTCTAACTCTGACCGTAAATGGGGTTCGAGCTGTTTAGCCCGCCCACGTGCGAATACCGTAGCCACATTTCTAGCAATTTCAGCGATCGAATCTCCAGGGGCTTGTCGTGGTTCCGCATATAGCGACATTACTAGTTTATCTTCTGGTAGTAAACCATATACACTATTATTTTTGCAATCATCATCCTGTTAAAAATTATTGAAGACAAGCAGGATGTTGCCGCTGCGAAAAAAAAGTGGATTTGTAACATGCCTGTAGTGCAACGTCGGGATAAACTCCCAAGCCCGCAGATATGCCTATTCACGTTCACCAATCATTTGGCTCTTGTTCTTGTCTTCCGGGATCTTCGCCACAAAGGGAAAGTTTCCAAGGCTGCTTACTCAAGACCATGGTTTTTGATTGTAGACGCAGAAGTCTGCCTCATGATTATCAGAATAAGTTCTGAAACAAATGTCGAAGTTATATTTTTCCGAAATTCTTGAACGACGTAGATAAGTATGAGTGGTATTGAAGTGACTGGGCTAGTCCTAGCCGTGCTTCCGCTATTCATTGAGGGCGCGAAAGCATACTCACATGGCGTTGAAACCATTCGAAAAACAGTCTCTCGTCGAGAACGAGATGAAAAGCTCATGGATTTCTATGACGAATTTTACTGGGAAATCGTGCAGTTAGATCGTCAAACTCTAGGGGTCATCAAATCATTGCCCTATTTGTCTGACAAACGAAAGGCTGAGCTGACAATGGATATTCGTTTGGAGGCCTGGAAAACTGATGCAGATGTTGCTCAAGCACTCTTTGATTATTTTGGATCCCAGGAGGATCTGGATGCTTTTTTACACGTGATGGGCAAAATTGCTCAGTTGCTTTCTCAGTTAATAAAAGATTCTACCATCCATGTATTATCGGGCGATATTGTAAGCATGGATACCAATATACAGAACGCTCACAGCTGATAGAGTGTAGGGGCAATCCAAGATGTTCAATAAATTGACAGATTTTGCTGCTGATAGAGAAAGAGGCGATACAAATAGTACTTTCAAGGAAAGAATACGCTTTTGGAAAAAAGAAAAAGACCGGGAAATATGCCTGAAGAACCTGTCAACGTGGAATAAAAGACTCTTCCGTTTGGCAGAGCAAGCACAAAAGGAACCTGCTACCAAAAAGTTATCTTCTGGAGCGAAAGATGTTCCTTTATCTCATCTGCGGACACTCTCGCAAAAGCTGTACAAGGCGCTTGCAAAATGTTGGAGTTGCAATTGTCCAACTCAACACGAAGCACAGTTTTGCTTGAAAGCTCGAGGAAATTCGGTGAAACCAGTGATAACAGAGATCGATTTTGACTTTCTATTTTCCGTTCAAGAAGATATGCAATTGGGGAGATGGCAAGAAGGAACTGTGGTTGTGAGATCAAATAGGTTAGTTTATAGTACCTGCTAAAGATTGGGACAGATCATTACTAACACATGCCTACTTTGCTTTAGCGGATCTGTTAAAGATGACCGCTCACTCCTACAGAAAATATGTGATACTGTCGGATGTAGAGGACCCGTTGATCAATGCCTCCAACTCTTGGTAGAAGATACTGGGAGCAACGAAATGCTTTGGCAACTGCGCTCAACTCCCAAGAGACTACCCAAATCAGCAGCCTCACAGACCGAGTCTTTGCAAGCAGTACTAGAAAAATCGACAAAATTACCTCTTATCATAAAACGGAGACTGGCAGTGATTTTCGCACATTCGTTGTTGCAGCTGCACGAAAGTTACTGGAAGAACAAGGAGTGGAGTAAAAATCACATATTCTTCTTTTATGGTACCGCCGGAGCCCTGGATTTTGAACGACCTTATTTATCAACAGTCTTCGATCCTGCCATAGACGAGAAGCACCCACCTGTGGATTTAAACCGCTTCCATCGCAATCCGAGTATCTTAGCCCTAGGAATTCTCCTCATAGAGATACATACCGGCAAATTGATTGAGAGTTTTCGAACCGAGACTGAGCGACAACAATTTAACACAAATACGGATTTGACTGTCGCAAACCGCGTGGTAATGAGTCTTGAGGATTGCTCCCTTGGATATCGTGATGTGATTCAGTCATGTTTGGATACACCATGGGTACCAGCAGGTCAAAGGGTGAATTTGGAAGATGTAGCAACAAGGGCTGGAGTATATCAGGATGTGATCAAACCGTTGGAAGAAGAATTTTCGTACTTGTTCCGTGAAAGAATATAAGTTTTTATTTACGAGTACACCAATACTTGTGACGATGAAGTTAGTACTAGGCCTACTGTGTACTCGGCGCTCAATAAGCATCAGTTTAGAGAATGGTCTATCTGGACACAAATCAGAGTAATATTTCTGATTTGCTAGTGCTTTCTTCCTCACTAGGTAATGGAAATCCATTATCTGATACTGAACCACCGTGAATAATGGTGTCCTAATTCTGGCTACCATCCTCCTCCTCATCACTATCATCCTCCTCCTCGTCCTCCTCGTCCTCCTCCTCGTCCTCGTCTTCCTCTTCCTCGTCCTCGTCCTCCTCATAGATTTCCCCGTTCTTAATTTGTCGAAGACGTTTCTTGGTAGGAACCTTGTGCCCAACGTACCCAATAAGTGCTGCAATCATTTCCTCGCGTAAGTATCGTCCAGGAGTACCCCAACATTGGGTAAATCTCTCCTTCTCATCCTTGATCCTCGGCATGTTCATTTTCATACGACCAGCTATTGATATGCAAACTAGCCAGTGATAATAAAGATAACGCTTCCGAGGGCGATTCTCATTCAAGAACTTTAACTTCTGACCATGCAGCTTTTCGAACAGAGTGTTTGTAAATGTATGGACCACTTTGAGAAGATGCTTGTCCAAAACTCTCAGCTCCCAAGAATTCTGATCCCCTAAGCACGGTACGATTGCTAACTGGAAATTATCGAAGCATGATTCGATTTGCCTCTCCAACATTAATCCGTTCCTTACGGAAAACAACTCATCGCTCGCCTCGTTCCCAAAGATGTGTTTCATCTGGGTATCTTGCAACCTTGCTGGCATAATGTGCGCGGCAATACGTTGGTTCGACTTGCCCCACGAGTGACTGACTACACACCAGATCTCTTCTTCATCGAGTCCCTGACGCTTCACTCCGTAGAAATCTATTAAACCGTTTCTAAACTCCGTCTGCTGAGTGCTGGATCTCTTCTTCTCCTTTACATAAAGTTGTAGCATGAGATCTGTGTGAGCCTGGTGAGCCTTTTTCAATCGTGTTTCCTCTTCAGCTTTGGTAGATTTGGGGTCTTGTTTCCGTCTAAGCAGTGCATCTTGTATTGCCTCTACATATGCGATCTTTCTCCTATACCATGACCGCCTACGAGCCTGGATTTCGCTGATCGGTATCTCATTAGAAGTATCCAGCTCCAGTTGCTCCAGCCTCTCTTGCTCCTCATTCATCTCTCTCAGTCCCTCTCGCAAAACTTGTGCACCAGCAGGCCATTGGTTTGTATCATCGGAAGGTTTGATCGCTTTTGGGTCTTTCTGATGACCTTTATCCTTGGTTCGATCTGGCATGTTGGTGGACATGGTTTTTCGTTGGAAAAAAGATGTAGTCGAGTGCGCTGAATGAAGGATACAGTGATGATATCGCAGTATTTAAAGGTGGCAGTGACAGAAGAAGGTTGATAATATGGGTTGAATAGAGTTGTATTGTTCCAAGAGAGGTGAGAAGGAGATTCGAGTGCGCTGAATCAAGGATCCAGTGATGATAACGCAGTATTTAAAGGTGGTAGTAACAGAAGAAAGGTTGATGATGTGGGCTGAAAATAGTTGTATTGTTCTAAAAGAGGTGAGAAGGAGATGATCCTTTATACCCCGCCTGTGACTAGTGTATGGGAAAGCACCCCCTTAAAGCTCCACCTTCCTCCTGTAACCTCTCAAATTAGTATTTGGAACTAGTTGACACTAATTTATAGTTTATACTATAGAGGGCTTGATCGGGAGTATCAGACCATTTTTAGTGCGATCAACGTTTATTTTGTTGTAGATCATTGGTTATCCAAGTTCGTGGTTTCTCTTTTCGGTACATCGCTTGACTAGATGGCTCTTTCACCTTGACCACAATTTTTCCATCTGAAGGCTAGCTTGCACTACTTCAAGACGAGTACGTCACTCCTTAAGTTTACTGTTTCATAAGTTATTTCGAGCTTTAAATGTGCGACGTGCTGGTAGTCTTCTCGAGTACATCATCAGAGCCATATTTCCCCTTGTCCTAGGCACTGTCGTATACATCCTATTTCATTTCTTAAGACACTCTGGGCGCAGGGTACTTGGAGGGCATTAGTATGTTAGAGTCGGTACCAATGCTTTCCATGTTGGATGCTGGCTTGAGTCACGATTTAATTAGCATAAATCAAAAGAATTTGGCTATGCCAAGGGGGATAGCTTAGTTTATGTCAAATGAATCTACGAGATTCATCGCAATTTGAAATCTTATTTCGAAACAGATGCCAAGGTGTTCAAAGTTGCTGATCAGTGTTTATTGCCTTCACAAACATGTCATATGAAAGCAATTAGAAATTTTTTGGTGCAACTCAATTACTATTGTTACTGCTACAACAGACAGGATTATTGGAGGCACAGTACACAACAACGTTACCGCTCGATAAATAAACGCCTTCCCACATAGAAATAGCAGTATTTGATGTCGATATTTTTCAATACATCGTGGGTATCAATTCCACTTTTGTAATTCCAATTCCCAAGCCCTAAAAACGAATTCGCCTCGCTTGCCTTGTCTCGTGCCATATGCTCATTAATAATTGCTTGCGATAGAGATTGTTGCATCACTATCGTAACCAGTCGTATCTTCGTCATCGTCACCAATGGCAGCATTGCCAATTGCCTGATTTCTAGTTGTAGCATTGAGCCTTGCGGAAGATTGGCGTTCCTCATTTTCCTCCATCACGCGGATATAATAGATCATTATATCCATTTCGCTTCCATGACCACTCTCCATGCAGTCATCACAGATACTCTGATCGAAAGTTTTGAATTCACAGCCTGTGATGCATCTTTTACAATTCCTAACAATTGGAGTGCGAATGCTAGAGGTCAGGAACTGGTGTGTATATGTTCCTGGGCGCAGTGCCGCGGCGTATGGAGCTTCGGCTGCTATGCTGGCAAAAATGTCTAGTCGGGATGGCAATACAGGAGTGTTTAGACTAGATGTGGGGGACGATGTTGCCGATAAGGAAGGAGCCGGTTGTCCAGCATTTGACTCCATATTTCCAGAGAAAGGGGTCTCGGGAGGAGTTGTGAAAGTTTTGCCGCTGGTCTTTCCTTTTTCCAAAGAGCTTTGAATCGAAACAGAACTTGTGGCGGGAGTAGCTACTTGCATTTCGTGATAGGTTGAGGTGGTGGGTGAAGTGTTTACAATTCCGCCATCAATCTTCGCTTTATCCACTGGACTTTGAGACGATTCGAGAGTTTTATCCATCTTAGCTGGAACTTTTGAAGGGGTTCAGGGGATGAAAGGGTGCAGGAAAGATTTCAATAACCTTGGAAATGAAATAGAGATGCAAATCTTTTCAAGAAAAAGAGGGATGAATAGAAATGTTCAGAAGTGAAGAGAGATTCAGGTGCAAAATTTATTGTTAAGGGAGCCATATTTATATGTGAAATTTTTTATGATAGTGAGCTGAGAGAGGAAACCTACATGATATCATCAGACACGCTAGAGAAGTAACTAATGATAATGATCTGGGGATCAAGACTCACTAATTAGAACTGACTTATCACTGTACAGAATCCGGAGCAAAGTTAATGATTCTTTCAAAATAAGAACAGTATCAAACAAGTAGATGAACTTAAAGTGCTACCGATGAGTGTAAGTTAGGAGTTTGTGGGGACTGCTAATTTGATAGGGTTTGGTAGGCTCTAACAAGTTCTGGAAGACTGTGAATTGTTCTAAACAATTTAAGCTGATTGTTTGAAAATTAAGGTAAGAGAAGGTATGAGCGAGCTAATCAGAAGCAGCAGCATCTATACCTGTTTTTCAATAACGGTGAGTATGACCGATCATTTTGAAGTATATTTAGCGACAAAGTAACTGCGATGAAGAGATCCATTTAATCGTGTCATTGAGGGGATTAGAGAGATTGGAATCTGTAGCGATGACGAATCGAAGTTAAAGGGTAGAACCCAACATGGCTAGAGACAGTCGATGATTACATAATTTCAACATATGATGATGACTTTTGAAGGCCAGGTTCTGGTCTAGATTGTCGGATCCATGATTAATTTTGATTCTATAGTGTAGATTCTAACGTCAAGTTTCAGACTTTAGTAGTAAGGGGCTGATCGTTTGAACTTCTCAGGTCATGTAATCAATTTGCTCATTGCATATCCTTATTGGAGACGAGGGGATATATGGAGAGGTTGATCAAATGCTTATTTCTCTAGTGGGCTTTGTATGGAGAAGAGCAGTAAGATAAATGTGCAGAACTACAAGTTAGGTTGTCGATCATAACGAACGAAGAGGCCGTCAAAAACCTTTAAGCTTGTACCGAGATTTCAGTCTCCACTTTGAAAATATCGAACGTACTAGCGCTAGTATTACACACTCAAGCATACAGCGACTCGAAGGACGTTGATTTTTCCACGTAAGTTTTCGTTGAAATTAGAAATAAATAGCTACAATCAAGGTGTATTCATGCACGATAGACATCGCTAAACTACCGAGAACGTGATTTTGTGGGATTTAAACCGTGCGTCAATCTGAACTAATTTTTAGTGGTAGCTGTAACGAGAGTGGAGGCGGACTAGACTAAACCCTACGGACTAGAACAATTATTAGAGGCAAGCTAGTGAAGCCACCACTGTGACTGATGTTGCAGTTTAAAGAAGATGTCTTAGCCTAGATGCTGTCCAATCGTAGGTAGCTTTCTTTCGGTCAAGTAATGATTCATTATAAAAGTTTATATTAGTGGTGGATGTTAATATATGACTCCTCATTTTTCCTTCATCAATTACCTATGGAATGATCGTTCCTACTAGTACGATGGTCAGGTGTCCAAAAAGCCAAGTGATTGAACAGTCTCCAAACAGCTTTTGAAGTAACAGCTTCCAGCAAGTCTGGGCTCACCTGGGCAATGGCTAATAGTCCATATCCATGGATGGCTATTGTGCTAAGAGGCTGAGAGGGATTACAGGAAGTGGCTGAGAAGACAATGGCTTTAGAGGGGAACAAGGCAGGACCGCCCATTATAAAAGTAAAAATCAGCTAATTGTGCACGATTTTTCCAATTACATAATCGTATTGGACTTTCATCATAGCTGTGTACACGAAAAGAATTTGCTTTGGTTGCATTGGAATGCAACGAAAAAGTAATTGTGACCATAATTTTCCGCTGGCATCTCCATATGCATGACCACAACGCAAGAACCAAATATATTTGAAAGACAGCAAATTCATGAGACAAGTTGCAAGTGGAATCCCCGGTTCCGCTACTGGTGGCAATTGGGTCTTCTCGAGTATGCATACTAGAGGTTATAGCAAAACTTGAGGTATACGGATTGAGGAGAGACGGAGCGGTGCCTGGTGGAAAGTAGAAGCTTGACCGTGAGACTTCATCACGTCGATATGTTTAGTTACCACACTCTATATATGAGAGATAGAATGAAAATCATTATCGAGAGACATCTTGAGAGACCCGCTCATAACATTGAGGTTCATGAAGCCAGGCGTCGAAAAACGTGTTGAAAGAGCCTTTAAAGAGCCGCAAGTTCATATAAGGCTTGTGTTTAGAATTACCTAGATCTACTTATCCCGACTCGCTCGAGACTCTGAACTGGAATTTTTCTAATTCTTCATCTCACAAGTCATGATAAATGGTGCCGTGATTCCTCCAAGATACAATGTCCCCCTCCTTACATCATGAACAGCGGCCGTTACTGATGTCAAAATCTTTCCGTCATCTTCCACCATGGTCTCAACAATATAACCCTCCTCACTCTTACCAAGATCCTTCCCTTCTCTTACTCCCTCTTTGATCAAACGATCAAAATCAGACCCTCTTCTTCGAATTCGTACGACTGCCGCAGGAACCTGGATTGATTGATCACTCAAATATTGAAACCATTTTAAACCTTGTGGAATTGATGCAGCTATGATGTCGCCATTCTCATCAACACTCAAATTATCAATGGGGTATGGTGCTTGTAACGTATCCTGTTTCAATAGAGTCTTCTCGTCTGTAAGTGAGAAGATTTGTATTTCGTGCAAAAATGTATTTGGGACATATATCAGTCCATCACGCCCTGCAACTAATCCATTTGGACCATTGAGACCAGTAGAGAAGACTAGGTTACAGTGATTCGTACGTGAATCGCAGTGTCCAATACTCCCACCACCAAGGAAAACCTCTAGATGGCGGCGCTGTAATTTTCTTTAGTCTATCGTTGAACCGCCATGGAAAGTTTGATGTAACTTACAAATCCGACCTTGTGGCTATGATCATTGGTGAACACGAAATCATCATCATTCACCCAGGCCACCTGGTTAGGAGCTTGGATCGCAGGATCTGCGTATGTCTTTATGTGTTTCATTGAAACACTTCCAACTTGGGTATGAAACAGTTCTATGGTAGAATTTGCACCTACGACTCCAGCATCGAGTGGGGTACCAGTTATTGGATCTATTGGAGGTCGGTGATTGATGAGCAGAATGCGCAAAGTACCAGTCTTCGGATCTGGACGGATATCAAATCCATGTAGGTTAAAAGTGCCATCTCCATTGTTACCAGAGAAATTTTCGGTTGTCATCCACTGAAGACGGGATTCCAATGAGCCATCTCCTCGGGTGTCCAAGATACCAATTCTATCTGCTAGGCCTCGTCCGGAAACATTCAGAAGGCCGGCACTGTGGTAGGTTTGGTGAATCAGCCAAGGGGTATCACGCCAGCGATGAGAAAGAAAAAAGCCACCGACAAAGTATAAAGCCTAGCTGGAGGAAATTACGAACCCGGGAAGCCATTGCAGACGACTTTGGAAATCGGAGCAGGCCATATATAGGTATCCGGTGTCATAATGAAACCACAAATCTTCACAACCTTCAAGGCCGAGATTATCAATCCTTTCACAAGTTGCGTTGAATGCATCAATTGACGAAACGGAACGTCCAACACCCAAAACCTCAAATATAACGTGTTTAAAGAGGAACTGATAGAAAACTGCGATGAGGGCAACAACGATACCGCCGCCGTAGGCTAGAGATCTCGCCATGCTTGTGGAAGCTTAAATTGAGCAATGAATGGCAATGTAGAATGATGCTATGTCACTTATATATAACCAGAAGATGTCCAAGACTCTGCCTCCACTCCTGTTTAGCTTTTGTTGGGAAAGTTAGCAAAGATACCTATTCAACAGATGTATCGTATCCGGATGTGATTAGAAATCAGAAAACATGGAACTGGTGGAACAGGATTGCCAAGCCGAGGTTCCACAATAGAACAACACGACAACGGACTCGCGGGGAGATAAAATCTCCAGGGAGAGACTCACAGTTGCACTCTCGATGAGTCTTCGCGATATGATTCGATTCAATAACGATATCGATTACAATATCCCACTGTTTGTGGGGGACCAACAGATGTTGAAGTGGCTTCATCTATACTGATCTCTATATCAACTTACAACCACAATCATGCAAATTGTATATTTCGTAACATTAGAAAGGAGAAGGATAGCGATATCACGAGCGGAACAATCCAGTGATTGTACGTTCTTGCCCTCTTTTCAACGTCGTCGTCGCTTCCTTTAACGGGTAGATTACCTCGTAGGTTACGCATGGACGCTGTGCTGTGCAATTCAAGTGGTCTGTGCGTAACAATTCTTATCACGTGCATCCTCCATCACAATCCAGCAACTTGGAGTGAAATTTTGATAAAAGTTCAAAGTCATAACTCACTCACTCTTCTCACTCTTCACATCTTCAACATTCACATTGTCATATCGGAATCAATATCAGTAGCATTTTTTATATATTAAACATTAGTTACTCTCGAATCTCAGACCTCGATATGGCCATCTCCCATTAACACACCTCGCAAGCAATCCATCCTCCAGGGACGAAAAGAAAAGACAAACTTCATGCAAACTCAGAAATCAATACCGCAAAACGACCAAATAAATGATACACCAGAACACCAGCCCACTCAAAGCAATATCATTATTCAAACCCAGCATCTCTCCATCCACAAGCAAAAGAAACCGGAAAACACAATCCATGATTACACCAATGATCAACATCGGTCATCCTAAACACCTCAACCCATTAATATCAACTCCATCCGGTAATTTTGAAAAGAAAAATCCCCATGCATACTTCTATTCTAGCATTCTCTCTCGGCGGCGACTTCGGTAAATTCCAGTTGACACAAGTCTCGGTATCTCGAATTTCCCTCCGCAGTAAAGTGAAAAGAATTGGGTGGATAATTG